TGTGTGTGTGTGTGTGTGTGTGTGTGTGTATATATATATATGTGGAGACAGTGTGCGTCCCGTAGTCCCCGCCTGTCTGAATCTGTTTCTGTAGCTCTGGACCCTCCATCACATGATTTATGGTTTTTATCTAACTATAGTACTAGCTAACTATTGGAGTGCTTGTATGACTCCAATAGATCTCAAAAAATAAAACACAAGAATTACCAAATAGTTTGTGCAAAGGATTAATACTGGTTATGAATGACAATAAAATCAAGTGATATGAACTACTCATGAAAATCACCCATACTAACAGTAAGTGGATACACAAAAGGAACTTTAACTTTAACTGGAAATTTATGGTTTGATTTCTTTGTATGTATGGATCACTTGGGTTGTTACCAACATCTGGTGAAAATTTCATGTCATTAGCACCTCTAGTAATATATTTACTGAGAAAAATGGTGACRTGTTCAATACTTATTTTATCCGCTGAATGCTACGAATCTTCCTGTACTGCCTCTTCAAAAGACACTTAAACACAAAGATTGCTTCATATGATTAAAACTGCTTCACTCTTTTTTTTGTTTCACTAAATAAAAAGCTACGATTATTTAATCTATCTTGTTTGTTTATTTATTTATTTATTTATTTATTTATTTATTTATCCCTCTGATGGCACTAAGGATATGCGTTTTCTGAGGACGGGGAATACCTTGCATACGGCACCAGTGCCAGCGGGTCTGACTGGGTGGAGATCCACTTCCTGCGGGTTGAGGGTGCCGTGCCCCTTGAGGACCACCTGGAGCGAGTCAAATTTAGCTGCATGTCCTGGACTCACGACGGGAAGGGTCTTTTCTACAATTCTTACCCCGAGCAAGAGGGCAAAAGTGACGGTGAGATCAGGCGCACGTGTGAATTCAAATGTTTTTGATGGTTGTTAAAAACTTTTAACAAAAACAGTAATGTTTCTATTTATATGTTTTGTTTAACTTTTTGTATAGCCTGATGAATGTTAAACAGTGTAGTGTAATGTGTCGTAACATTCAGGCACTGAGACGTCCACTAACCTGCACCAGAAGCTGTACTTTCATGTTTTGGGAACGCCGCAGTCCGAGGACGTCCTGTGCGCCGAGTTTCCYGACCATCCCAAATGGATGTGTGGGGCCGAGGTGCGCCTCCGTTTACTCTCTTTTTCTTGGTTTAGGTTTGAACGTACGCGTTAGTGATTACAGATTACCTGCAGGTATCAGATGATGGGCGCTATGTGCTGCTGCTGATCAGAGAGGGTTGTGATCCTGTCAACAGACTGTGGTACTGTGACCTGGAGACGACAACTCAGGGAATTACAGGTTTGTAATGTTTTCACTTATTAATGATGGAGACCTCACATTGATGATTTAAGAACAAAGATGGCCAAATCTATTGCTGTTCTGTATAAAGTAAGTGAGTGATTTAATGTTAAAGTATTGTGTATGTTGTATAATGCAATAATAGGTCCACACCTGGTTTATTGTTTTGAAGTCTGGGGGAAGCGTGTCGGAAAATTACAAATCATGGTTTTTATTACAGAAAAGAGCTGTGAGAATTATTACTGGAAAATATTGTCGTCACCCATCAAATTCTTTATCCTGTAAATTGAAAATATTGAAGTTCTTTGATTTGGTTGATTATAATATATAATATAACTGGTTATGTATAAGGCCCACAAAAACACATTACATTTAAACATCCAAGTAAATTTAGTTAAGAGAAACAGTTGTTATAACCTTAAAGGGACAGAGATATTTGTAAAACCCAAATTCAGAACTAGTTTGAAGGAACGGTGTACTTTAATTCAAGGAATAAGACTATGGAATAATTTGGGCAGTGATGTAAAAAATGCAGGATCACTGTGCACATTTAAAAAAATGATAAAAGTTGGATTTTTAAAGAAATACGAAACAGTATAATGTGTATCTAWATAGTTTGTTGTTCTAGACCAGAGGTCTGAAACCTTTACAATCAAAAGATCCATTTCTGCTACTGACGCAGTAATAAAATGTCTCCAGAGCTGCAAAATAAGCTACAACTGTGATTATCAACTGGTGGTCTGTGGGCCTTTTCAAGGCCTTTTCGGGAGCCTTCACGGCCAGTGGAGGTGACATTATAAAACTGAAAAATATATTGTGAATTTTATTATTTATTATTTTTACCCATCAGGACAAATAAAAAGAAAAGACTATATTCACGTAAACAAGAAAAATACTGTATATAGTTTATAACTAATTTCATAAAAATAGTACAACTGAATAGGGCTGCGACTAACGATTATTTTAATAATCGATTAATCTGTTCATTATTTTTTCGATTAATCGGCCAAATCATTAAAACGCTTAATTACATGAATATGAGTACCGGTAGATATAAATTAAGTTAACTCCTTAAGGATGTAAATTATTGATAATGAATTAATCTGAAGTTGATTGATCTTATCGATTGATTAACAATTAATTAATAAGCAGCCATTTTTCCAAAAACCAGAGTTTTCTCTTGAATCAAGAGGGTCTTCCCATAAAATGATTTTTTATAATCTCCTGAATTAAAAAACAGAAGCACCTAATACATATTTTAAC